CCATCTTAGTGTTATTAGGATGAATTTGGACTTAATTTAGTATGAATGTAGCCTTAATTTTATCAGAGGGGTGATAGGCTCTTGCGTTGCCTTACTTTGCTTGTTTATGAATAAAAGGGGGAATAAATGTGAACTTTGAATGAATGTAGACACCCTTGCCATCCACTTTGATGTGTCCCTTCCTATTCCACGTTGATCTGTAATGCCCCAAATGTCGAATTAAGGACTTTATTAAAAATATTTAAAAATGGAGGATTTAAGTGATTAAATGATAAAATATGGGTAAAGGATTGTAATAGTGTTTTAGACTAGATTGCAACCATAGATGAACATAGATGGCATTTTAGTCCTTTAAAGAGGAAATAAATTTAATAATTATTTTAATAAGGTATTTAAATAAGGAAAAAGGGAAAATGAGATACAAGCTATATCTCTATCTTCTTCTTCTTGCCGTGGAAAAGCTCTCCCCATAGCTCAAAGGTGAGATTTCAAATGGTTAGTTTATTCTTTCATTTTTAGTTGGTTATTGAAGCTTTGAGTATGATAGAAGCTTAAGGAATGATTAAATAGGATTAAAACTAAGTTATGGATGAGATAATAGAGATTGAAGAAAATAGTTTTTTGAGTGACATCTTGAAATAAGAGGGTTTATGAATGTTTTATGGTAGATTTGACTTGTCATAGAAGCAAATGAGAGATTAGAAGCATTGATAGGATTAAAAACACATTAGGAAAAGTGGTGTGATTCTTAGAATTTAATATTCTTGGAAGGTGTTAGATGTTTTAAGAAACAAAAATGAAGGAAAATTAGTATGGATAGTTAAAGAAGAGTTTCATGGTATTGTAAGGTGTTAATATAACGAAATTTAACCCTATTTGGGTGAAAATAGGGTTGAAAACTAGAAATTCTGGGTACAGGTATCGGTACTGATAGAACAATACCGATACTACAGGCTAAATAGGATAAATTTGCTAAGTAGTATCGATACTGATTCAATCAGCATCGATACCGAAGGGGGAGTATCAATACCGAAAGGGGAGTATTGATACCGAAGGGAAGGTATTGATACCATTTTGAAACAAAATGAAAAATGGTATCGATGCCACATCATAGTATCGATGCCATAGCATAGTATCGATGCCATAGTATAGTATCGGTACCATAGTATAGTAGTATCGATACCATGATAGGGGTATCGATACTAAGAAGGCAGAAATGTTAAAAATACGCTGATATTGTTATAGAAAGATAATGATATGTCATTTTGAGTATTGTTTAAGTATAATGGCTAGAAAATATACTAACATTGGGTATGGTACATGTTTTAATGGATGTTTAAGTAGATTGAAACCAAGATCCCGAGACAATAAAAACTAAGGGCAAAGGCAAAGTACCGGAGTAATCAACCTTACATTTTGGATACATAGCGGGGAAGTCAGGTGAGTGCATTTAGTATGTACATTAAGAGTTATAAAGATATGTTGTTAAAAATATATATTGCAATGATATATCAGTACTATGTGTACTACAGGCACTGTGTATGCAAATCCATGGAATTCATCATGAGTTGATGAATAACCGTACATGCACTGTGTGTGCAAATCCATGGAATTCATCATGAGTTGATGAATAACCGTACAGGCACTATATGTGCAACCCACGGAATTCATCATGAGTTGATGAATTACTATATAGGCACTACTTGTGTATTCTCATAAATGACATGAATAGAAAGTGGGCAAATTACCATATTAGCACTAATGGTGCAAAGTTATAAGGTTTACAATTAATTTAAAGAGTTGCTCGATATTAGAATTTTTACCCTATATTTATATTTATAAGTTGCTTATGATTAAGTATGCCTCACTAAGTAATCCTTAACGTGTGTTTATTTCACACGTATGTTGAATACAAGCTGAGTAAGGAGATCATCGGACATCAAGTCAGAGTCGCATCATCAGTAACAATATGACATACCTGTCTACTTTTGATATATTTTAGTTGGCATGTAATAGGTTTAGTAAAAAAACGCTCTGAAAAGCTTTTGAATTAAACTATTGTAAAATGGTGAAATGTGAAACATCTCTTTTATTTGTCTATTTAAGTTTAATGCATGTTTTAATTATAAGTAAATTATAATGGTTTATAAAATGAAACAAAATTATACGTATTTTCAAATAGGAAACTGTTTTAAAAGTGATGTGATATATGTAGACTGTATACATAAAGGTATACGGGATATGGGTGTTACATGATATTTGTCACTTAATTGTGATAATAAGTGAATTAAAATCAATCTTCATTGCATGCCTCCTTGTTATGACGTGAGTAACCTTCAAAAATATAATAAATAAGGCCTTGAATGCAAGGTTTGAATGCTTGCTATTGCATGTCTCCTTGTTAGAACGTGAATAGCCTTCAAAAGATGATAAATAAGGCCTCGAATACAAGGTTTAAAGGCTTGTCATTGCATATTTCAAGAAGAATTCAAATAGTCCTTGAGAATGAACGATAATTCAACCTTGAATGCCATGAATGTATGAATAAAGATGGCCTTGATTGCATGAATAAAGAAGCACTTCAATTTCTTGTCTCCTTGTTGAATTTGAAAGGTCTCTTCCTTGGCTTGAACTGATCCACATGTCCCATACACCTAGACACAAAGATGGATTTTATTCAAACTTTAATTGAATACATGCATGAAAATAGTTAAAGCTAGTTTGTTCAGTGAACTAGTTAAATGAATGAACTAGTGTAATCAATGAACCAACTTTATTAAATGGACTAGATGCATGAATGAAGTAGCTTATTAAATGATCTAAATGCATAAGCGAATTACTTCTCTAATTGAACTAGAAACTTAAATGCAATGCATACTTTAATGAATAACATGCTTATTGAATGCAATGGATGTTACACAAACTTTAAATTCTCATGCAAATTCATGCATAAGCAAAGTAAAATGTTCCTCCTTTAGTTCTTGTTCTTCACGTCCCAAGCTTAAAGTAATCAAACTTTCCATGGCAGCTTGGAATCTCTTGGCCCTTGCACATGTAATGGGCTCACTTGGATATTCTTCCGGGTCTTTGTTGCTGGGAATCACATCAAAGGATGTAGACAGTAACTGTCAACTAACGTGATGTACCAAAAAAAAGTATCAGAAGATCATGTTGCATATATAGTCCTCCAAATAATGTATTAAGTGGTATACTATTAATGTATATTTATTTTGTTTGATTAAAATTTATTATAAATAAAGATATATTATTTTTAAAATTATTGTGTTGTTCTAATTTTGAAATCTTATCTTTTGACTCATAAAAGAATCTCAAGAATGTCTTGAAGAAGAAAAATACAATATGAGATTGTTTGACTTATTACAGTTATCATTGTGTAGTTCATCATAGTTGATATTGAACATAGAGGTACAAAATAGAGATTAATTAGAGACCATTTGGAGATTTGTTTGTAGTTGGGATTGAACCTATGTCCTTTAGTCAATAAATCTTTGAATGGTCTTTATTATGTAATTCTTCATTTCTTATCAATTAAGGTGAACTAAAATTATCTCGGATTGTATTCGCTCTCTAAGATATTTTTTTATATTCTCTTAAGTCTTAAGGACCGAAAGATAAAATTTCAGAATTAATTAACATACATATATCTTGAAAAACAATACCTTTCTCATCGAAGATTCCACCTAACAATAGGAATATTCTTTAACAACAATAAAGAAAACCTATCGCTCTATCAAGCAAAATTTCGTCATTTTTCCTTTTTCATTTCAACTAACAAAAGATATATATATATATATATATAGAGAGAGAGAGAGAGAGAGAGAGAGAGTTGGGTTGTGTTTTGCGTTATCAATGCTTTAACTTAACCAATGGGTAAAGCATATGGTGAACTATGGTGTTCCCTTTTCTATTTCATGACTTCAATAGAGTAAATATTGGGAACAGATCATAAAATAACTTTGATTTGTTCAATTTATTCTTTTTGGTGCTATAAAGCTAACCGTATGGGATTGGTTGGTGTCATTTTCAGTTTTCAGTGACATAGACTTTGCCCAACTTCACTAATACAAAAACACACGCAATAACGTAAAGTATAAACCATGATTCCGGCATTCTTTTTGTTACAAAATAATTTTTCCCCTTCCCGGTTCGAACGCTTAGTATTGACTAATCCGGATTGATATGTGTTGCACATCTGACTTTAGTAGATAAGTCTCAGAGCGAATTTTTTTTGCATACACGACGACTATCATGTTACAAAATAATTTAGGATACATACATAAATATTTAATTTTTATATTTATTAAATTCATTGAGTGACTTAAGTAAAAAAATATGTTATTGTTAGGTATGGCTCATATACCAGTTGGAGGACAGATGCTGGAGCGGAGTGAGCGACCTAATTTTGGATTATTGCGAATAATAAAGAGAACAGTCACTCATTGCTCCATAAGACGTAGGCACATTGTCGAACCTAATTAAATCTTGTGTTCTTTATTTGCTTTACTGTTTGTTGATTTCCTGAGTTAATTTGCCCGTTTTCACATCAATTATTCTCTTTGGAAGTTTGAATTCGAGCAGTTATGTTTATAAAATGTCTATAGTAATTATACTAAAAGAAAATTCTAAACAATTAATGTCTTATTATTGTTTCATATTATTGAAAAAAATTATATGATGTTAAATCATTTAAAATTATTAGCATTAGCAATAATTCATTTAAAATGATTAGTAATTAACTAATGAACTTAAATTATAATGGCTGTACCCAACCATGTAAGATCCTTCTTTTTGTTCTATAAATTGGCTTCTCAATTCTCTAAAAATCCTCTTCCACTTTCACTCTCTTCCCCTCATAGAGTTAGATTTTCTTGTTTTCCATGGTTTCTTGTGTTTCTTTCATATCGTTTTGATATGCATCTCTGCCCTTAAACTGAGGGTTTTCGTAGTTAAACTTTGTATCTATACAAAAATCTCTTGGTTTTATCTTCTTCTTGGTGTTGGAAATCTTGATGCCACATAAATAGTTGGCGTTCGAGATTTCATGTCTCCGGTTGTGAGTGAAATCCTCCGGTCGGGGTTTATGATAAATTCCTCACTCAGACGCAGGACCCATCTTGTTCAATCTTTCTCAATCGTCTTCCTCCACTGGTTCTATGTTTTTTCATAAATAAAAACTTCCTCTAATCGCTTGACTTCCATTTCATATGCATATATAGCACATAAAAAAATCAAATATATAAATATCCCACATTAGCTAAAACATAATTAGTTTCTGGGTCCTGACGTCTTTCTCAAAAAAAAAAAGGATCTTTGTGTAAATATATATAACATCATGGCTTCGTCTAGTGGAAATTCCAATTCATCAGGTTCGACACTGCTTCAGAATTCAGGTTCTGAAGAGGATTTGCATCAGCTGATGGATCAAAGAAAAAGAAAGAGAATGGAATCCAACAGAGAATCAGCGAGGAGATCAAGGATGAGAAAACAAAAGCGTTTAGATGATTTAATGGCTCAACTGATTCTGCTAAGGAAAGATAATTACCAAATCCTCACAGGCATCAACTTCATCACCCAGCAGTACTTGAACATGGAGGCTGAGAACTCGGTTCTGAGAGCTCAGATCATAGAACTGAGTCAAAGACTGGATTCCCTGAATGGGATCCTTAATCATCTCAATAATCCCAGAATCAGCAATGGGGTTTATGAAAGTGAAGCTTTTGAAAGTTTCACCAATTTCATTCACCCTTTCAATTATGCTTATCTTAATCAACCAATTGTGGTCACTGCAGATGTATTCCAGTACTGATCCGCCATTATTAAATGGGTTTAAAAAAATCAATTGAATTGGGAACTAGAAAGCTAGAGCTGCCTGCTAAATATATATATATATATATATATATATATATATATATATATATATATATATATGTATATAATCATGGCTCTCTTTTGTTGCTGTAAAAAATGGGATATATAATAGAGAAAATCGCCTCAGTGACCAAAAAAAAGTTATAATATACGATTTTAACCAACTTTTTTTGGATTTGCCAAAATGACCAACAAAATCGCAACGCGAAATAAAAATCGCAACGCGATCCCCAGAATCGCAAATCAGTTTCCAAAATCGCAACGCGATTCTTGAAAATCGCAATGCGATAGTACAAATTCGCATTGCGATTTTCCAAAATCGCAACGCGAATATGAAAATCGCAACGCGAACACATAAATCGCAACGCGTATCCGTAAATCGCAACGTGTATCCGTATATCGCAACGCGTATCCGTAAATCGCAATGCGTATCCGTATATCGCAACGCGTATCCGTAAATCGCAACGATAATCCGTAAATCGCAACGAGAATCTGTAAATCGCAACGCTAATCCGTAAATCGCAACGAGAATCTGTAAATCGCAACGATAATCCGTAAATCGCAACGAGAATCTGTAAATCGCAACGATAATCCGTAAATCGCAACGAGAATCTGTAAATCACAACACTGAAATTTTGGGTATATAACACTGAAATCATAAACTAAATCCCTAAATCGCAACTCATTCCATCTCCATCTATCACTCTCTCCGGCGACATCCGTTCCTATATCCAACGACATCCTTCCCAATCCGGCAACAGGTTTTAGTTTCGCAGCTCGTCTGTTTAGTAAATTAATTTACAACTATGAAATCATCTAATGTTGATCATGTTTGGATAGATTTGTGTTTTGGAGGGTCATGGGATAATGTTCATGGTGTTTTACAATATATGCCTTTACCCATGAATCTTCAACTAAAATTGTCTTTACAAAAGTTAACTTATGAAACTCTAATGCTACGTGTTTCAAATAAATTGAATTTAGAGCCCCTAAGTGGATTTAGGCTATCTTATCAGAGAAATGGTAAAGTTTATTTGTTAACCGACAATGAAGATGTTGAACGATTCATTGCTTACATTAGTGTTTCACAAGATGATGTTACATTGTATGTTGTTGAACCTAGAAGTAGTATTGTTGGGTCAGTAGCGGGTAGTAATCAACTAAGTTTTTCTCAAAACCCACAACCTTTCTCTAATCCAAATCCCAATCAACTTTCAGCACCAAATTCCGGTTTTCGTATTGACCAGTTAGACGATGATGAGCCAACAGAAAAAATTGTGAGTACTAGTCAGTATTCAAAATTTGGTCTTGGTCAATATCCGGACTTTGATATTGGTCAATACACGGATTTTGATGATGTTTCAGAAGAAGAAACATACCCTGTGTGTAATGATTTTGATATTGGTCAATACCCGAATTTTGATGATGAAACAGCCGTTGCCGAAGAATGTATTGTTGATGATAATGAGGAGGAAGTTACGACTGTGAATGAACATGTTGAACATCCATTCTGTAATTCATATAATCCTGAAGAAGAAAAAGAAGAAGAAAAAATCCCCGAAGAAAAGAAAATGCCACGGGCGTATAACTGGAATATGCCAGAATTACTTCAGATACCGGAAGAAGAGTTGGTAAAGAAAGCAGTTGATTGTTACACAAAAGTTATTCGTATCAAGAAAGATGATTGTTTTGATACAAAGGAAGACTTGAAGATAGCTTTGTATACGAAATGTGTGGAAGATGGCTATCAACTAAAAGTTAACAAATCAAGCAAAGATCGTTTCGAAACAAGGTGTATGATTGACAAAAACTGTATGTGGCGAATGATTGCAAAGAGAATAAAAGATTGCGAAATGTTTCAAGTTAGGACTTTTATTGATAAACATACATGTTCAAGAACCCAAGTTTTTCCTCACCATAGACAGGCAAACAAAAAGGTGTTGGGTGGTTTTCTGGCTGAGTTAATGTTTTTGAATGGCAGGGTATATCGGGGACATGAAATTATGACCGACATGAATGCTCGGTTCAAGATTAGTATATCATATTCTCAAGCTTGGAGAGCCAAATGTTATGCCTTGGAATTGTTGAGGGGGTCGCCAGAAGCATCGTTTGCCCAACTGCCGGCTTATTGTCACAATTTAAAGCTGAAAAATCCTGGGTCGGTAACTCATATCAAAACAGATAGAGATGGACGCTTTGAGTTGCTGTTTATCGCCATTGGTGCTACGGTTAGTAAATCAATATAATTTTGTTGACTCATTTTTGTTAGTTACATGCATTTCACATTTAAATGATTATATTTCTTGTGTATATTATTTTGTAGATTCGTTCGTTTATTACTTGCATGCGCCCAGTTATTATAGTTGACGGAGCACATTTGAAAGGTCGATACCTTGGAGTAAACTTATTAGCAGTAGCCATGGATGCTAACAATGGGATATTGCCAATAGCTTACGGGGTTGGCAAATCTGAAACCTCTGATTCATGGACATGGTTTATGGGGCATCTTAGGGATTGCATAGGTCCTATTAGCAATCTGACAATCATATCCGATAGGGCAAACTCAATTGACAACACTGTTAGAAGGTGTTTCCCAGATGCTTTTCATGGACTTTGTGGTGTTCATTTGTATAGAAATCTAAAATCAAGGTCTGCTGGTATAAAAAAGCACAAATGGACATACTGGAAGGCTGTAAAAGCTTATCGGGAAGTGGATTTCAATAAGCATATAAATTGTTTAAGACGTGTTTTGCCTCAGTGTGCTCAAACACTAGAAGATGTCGGGTTTGAAAGATGGTCAAGAGTACATCAACTTGGAGCAAGATATGGTTTCATGACGTCTAATAGTGCAGAATCAATCAACGCTCTAAGTCGTCATTCCCGGAAATTACCCATTACTATGTTAATGGAGTTTTTTCGAGCCTCTATTCAACAGTGGTACTACAAGAAAAGAAACCATGCAGGTATTATTTCTTTGAATTCGTAACTTATCATATTTATATATTTTACTAAGTATTGTTTATTTAAATTTACAGGAACATTGGAACATCGTGTTACACCATGGACTGAAAAAAAGATAACGAAACGTTGTATTATGTGGATTTTATGTGTGAACTTTTAACATTTTCAGTTGAATTAATGACTCAGGCCAACCATTTTGACTTAACCAACTCTTGTTATTCAGTTGTTATCACTTATTAGGCATGCATTTGACTATCGCAACACGGAAATTACAATCGCAACGAGAGAATCGCAATGCGAAATGAAAATCCCAACAAGAAAATCGCAATGCGGAAATGAAAATCGCAATGCGAAATGAAAATCGCAACGAGAGAATCGCAATGCGAAATGAAAATCGCAATGCGAAATGAAAATCGCAATGCGGAAATGAAAATCGCAATGCGAAATGAAAATCGCAATGCGAAATGAAAATCGCAACGAGAGAATCGCAATGCGAAATGAAAATCGCAATGCGAAATGAAAATCGCAACGAGAGAATCGCAATGCGAAATTAAAATCGCATTGTGATTCTCCCGTTGCGATTTTCATTTCCGCATTGCGATTTTCATTTCGCATTGCGATTCTCTCGTTGCGATTTTCATTTCGCATTGCGATTTTTATTTCGCATTGCGATAGTCAATTTTGCCTTCAACATAATGCAGATTGAAATCAACAAAATCAACCATTACATTTCAATCAATTAAACAAGCACAAATAAGAATTATATTCGCATCAATTACACAAATCAACTTTTACAAATCATCTTTTACAAATCAATTAAACAATCAAAAAATAAGCAATAATTCTTATTTCCGATCATCTACTATTGAATCAACTTTTACAAATCAATTAAACAATCAAAAAACAATCAATTAAACTATTGAATCAACTTTTGCAGCCATACATCATTTTCACGCAGTTCACTTCTGAGATTAACCTGCAGAAACCAAACATTTGCTCAAACAACACTTTCTACACATCTAAAACCTACAAACAGCAAATTATTGAATTCTAGGTACTTAACCAAACATTTTCAAACCAAAAGTATATAAACTTACCAATTGTTTATGGACATTTTTATAACGCGGATGCAGGTAGGCAGCGTCTCGTATATATCGATTTAGCCATATAATGCCGAAACCACAAGCCTACTGCAGCTCTATCTCTATCGGTGGGAGGTAGATACTTGATGCTTCCCGTCGTCAAACGCTCCAACGCCAAGCATACGAGAGGACCACAATCTCCTCTGGCTCCGCTCGTTTGTTGTGGCGCGGTCTCGTCTCTAATAACTGTAATATTGAGCTTCTTTGGCTTCTTGTTTCCAGAACGAGTCCAATAATTGATCGCATCCAAGAATTTAGCCAAATGAGAGCTCCATCCCTTAATAACATCTCTTAAATCAGCCAATGATATGTAATTTATCATGCTGTCATACACTATTGTCTTAAGGGATGGGAGCTGAAGCTCGACGAGAATCCAATGTTTACGTTCCAAAACAGGGATAAACACCTGCAATCATAAGTAATAATTCATTCATTTGCGCACTTATTTCATAAAACCTTTAAACTCAATCTAAAATAAATACTAACCTTATCGACCTCCCACCATGCAGGATAAAGTTTAGCTTGTCCATTGCCCAAATCAAATGATTCATCTCGTGCATTCTTCAAGTGAACGGCGTGAAAAGACGTCGGCATAATTGTATATCGTATATTTTTATTTTTCTTAAGTTTTCTTATTATTAGAAGACGTGTCACCCACGCATCGATATGCTGTTTTACAAAAAAAGACATATATTAGTGACTTACATAAATTTTAAAAAAAAATTAATCAAATTGAAATATAAGAAAAATATAAGACTTACCCCCCCATCGAAATAGCCATTGTCTTCGACCCCTAATAATACGCCCCACCAAGACCGATCAAGCAACAAATAGATATCATCGGTGAGCT